TACCATCTGACGTTTTATTAACGGTTTCAGATTCTTAGCTCCAACCGCACCAAATTCTTAATTACATGAACTCTAAGTTATTGTCAGAATATTCGCTCGAATTTTGTTCTATTTTGGTGATAATGCTGACTGACATCGTAATTAACAAATTTAATTGTGACCGTCTTAGCTAATTAATTAATGTTGTTGACTATGTAGCTAATTACGTTTTACTAATTAATACAATAAGGGCCAATCTTTTACAAGGTTTCTGAGACATCAGCGTTGCGAAAGGGTATGAACCTCTACACTGGACAGTTTTGAGGTAACTTTGATTTATGTCATTTCACTTCTTGTTTCATTGAACAGTAAGTTAGTTCCAATCTAAGGATTGTTAACAGAATTGTATACCTAACATTGAAAAATGCAAAAACTGGAGATAAACAAAATTTTTTGATGAATACTGAGGAGGGTCAAACGAAACTAATAAAACTAAAAATAACATCATCAGTGCTATAGAACTTACAAAAAAATAATAACTAAACTTATTTATATTAGCAAAAAATTATGTTCAATAAAAATATGCGTTCCACATGATATTACCGGATAATCAAAAACTAAAAATATAAAGGAGAATATGTACCAATCAGTTTATAAAGCATTCAAATCATTTTTCTGTTTTAAGTTGTTGAAGCGCTAGACCAAAGCTTTGTCCCCTAGTCTTCTCAAAAGTAAAAGACGATTTTTGAAACGCTCTAGCCATTAGTTGCTAGCCACAAAGTAATCTCTATTCATTATATCCTTGTAAAAAATGTATCGTTCGTGGCCAACATGGGTCCCGCAATGAGCGCATCCATGTTTTTTGCCTGGCCCACAGTCAGTTGTTAGCACACAAGTTTTAATCTTCTCGTGGTTTTTTCAATGTCATAAATAGTAGATGGACCTACACCTCATTCATCTGTTAAACTGCTGAGGGATTCATAATGATTTAAGCGATCAAAAATATCACATTTTACTTGTCAGTGTTTTGTGCTTTCCCTTTTGAGCTTATGAAGAAATTACTAAGTATGTATGTGTGACACACGATATATAAACAATAAACAACAATGAACTCCCGCTAAGCCGTTATTACATGTAGGTATACAGGGTTATCCAAATTAAGTGTCCACCATTAGTAACTTTGTTATTAGTGAAAATACAAAGTTGTTTGAATTAGCAAACTAGTAGCATTTTTAACGCTGGTAAAAATGAGAAATAAAAAAAAAACAATTGAGAGTCGTTATTTTGATTTTTTTCAGTAAAATAACATTTTTTTAAATGGAAACCCCTGTATATTATATTTTTTTCTGTTAAAGCATCAAATTTTAAACAAAAAAGCTTACAATAACTTTTCTCCTAGGTTACAAATTGTTGAAGTTATGGCCTCCAATCTGAAACAATTAAATTGTATCGACAAACTTTATTTTCAACATCAACTTATAATCTTACAAAATACAATAACAATTTTTTTTAAAGAAGATGCTCGAAAACACCACCTTGTTCTTCAATACATTTTTGGGCACGTTTTTCAACTGCTCGAACTGTCTTAAGTATGGTCCTACCATCTATCTGGGTTATCTTTTCCCTAACTGCAGTCTTTAACGCGTCAAGGTTATCGTACCTTCGCTTGTAAATTTGGTTCTTTAAGTAACCCCACAAGAAGTAATCAAGTGGGTTTAGATCTGGTGATCTGGGAGGCCACTGTATTGGGCCATTTGTTCCTATCCACTGATCATTAAAAGTAGTACTTAGAAAATGATAAGTACCTCTGGAGTTGTGGGCAGGTGCGCCATCTTGCTGAAAATGCAGATGATGTTTACTTATAAGATCCAATTCGTCTAAGAAATTAGTCAGAATTTCTGACATAAATTCCACATATCTTTCACCAGTTAGGGTTCCCTCATAAAAGAACGGGCCAACAATTTTTGAACCAATTATACCGCACCAAACGTTGAAACTGAAACGGACTTGTGGGCCTCTTGGATGTACTAACAAAAGATTTTCTCTTGACCAATAATGATGGTTTTTTCTATTAAACATTCCAGAATTTGAAAAATTTGATTCATCTGCCCATAAAAGGTAACGAAAGTTATTTACATTTTGGCGACAGAAGCTAAGATACCAATGGCAAAAAACAAGTCTTCTCTCTGGATCCCCTACCAGAAGCGTTTGAACTGGTCGGTACTTATACGGAATAAATTTGTATTTTTTTAAAATCCTTTGAACAGTACCATAACTGAAATTAGAGTCCTTGAGAATATCTGCTATTGAATTCTCACGATAAGCTTCAAAATATCCAATAACTGCAATTTCCGTGGCCTCGCTTATTATGAATTCTTTTTTTGCCCTTGTTTTAGCAAAAACATTTTCGTTGCCCCTAAATTTTCGATAAAGTCTCAGAAAATATCGTTCATACGGTTGAATGCGAGCGGGATATAATTCACTGTAGTATTCTCTTGCTCTCAAGGAGGATTTTCTGCACACTAAATAGCATTCTAACATATCACACTTTTCTTCATGGGAGAACATTTTTCTTTAAATTAATGACACAATAAAGCTTATAAACAAGTATTTACACTAATGTTTGACATTATTTGATTTTATCATTGTTTTCCAAAGCCTTCTAGTTGCGAGTATGTCCAGTTTAACAATTTGTCGCTTATCTTAATGCTGTCAAATCGCGAACGCCATGTTGTTTTCATAGCCGTCTTAATATTATAATACTGCAAATAATTAAAAATATTTATCGTTATTTTGACTTTATTTTTGACTTTAGCGGAAAAGTCATTATGAACTTTTTTGTTTAAAATTTGATGCTTTAACAGAAAAAAATATAATATACAGGGGTTTCCATTTAAAAAAATGTTATTTTACTGAAAAAAATCAAAATAACGACTCTCAATTGTTTTTTTTTATTTCTCATTTTTACCAGCGTTAAAAAAGCTACTAGTTTGCTAATTCAAACAACTTTGTATTTTCACTAATAACAAAGTTACTAATGGTGGACACTTAATTTGGATAACCCTGTATAGTCAAATTCAAACTGAAACAATACGCGTCGAGCACAATAGTGGTAACTGGTAACGAGTACTAGTAAAAACCTGTCCAATCATGCATTATATTAGTGAAGATTTGCAGACATTTTTATGTACAATCAACAGTGATAGGCGTGTCGGATTACAGGGGCGCCGGAGTAGACAGGGTCTAATTGCCGCGGGTCCGCTCTACATCCAAATCTTTTTATCTGAGAAATATAGGACAATGATATAATATCAGGAATTTCCATATTTTGCTCAAACTATAGTCTATTTATCGAAGAAAGGCACTAAACCTAAAAACATTCACGCACACCTCACGTGATCGGGCTCCAGAAAGCCTAGCACCTTTCTGGTTTGGCATTGGTCGTGTAAATGGGCATGAGCAATTCTGCCCAATAACAGTTATACTCTCCGTTTCTTAAAATATATCAACATGCTTTTCACGCTCTAAACACCCTAGTTATTGTTTTGGTTTAATGTCTTTCTTGGATAAAATTGTTAATAATATTTAATTACCAAAACATAATATGTACAAATCGTATCGAGATGGTCAAGAATGGAAAAACGAATTCATAACACCTATAGGAAGGTTGAAATGGAATATACAATTAAAAGCAGTAATATAAAAAATGTAAGAATGGAACATACACACACTCGTACATGGATTTGATAAAAGCTCTTTTAATTGTTTATATGCTGTACCGTTAATATTTACTTTCGTTTGTTTGTCTTATTAAGTTATCCCTTTTTATTAACAATAACTGAGCGATTCACATTCCAACATAGATAGTGTTTGTCCTGCTGCGCGTGAGTACAGGGTTTGTCCGGAAAGTAATAGGACTCATTTTCTTCCGCCATGACTGTACTTCGGAGCGTGCGCGCACCGACTGGATTCGGTAGAGGGCGTTCCTAGCTAACGAATGAGCGGCTGGTCAGTTGTCTCCGAGCACTTGGAGAGTCAGGACAGGCATTTTCGCGCGACGTGTTTCTGTGAGTGGTGCAAGCCGAAAATGCAGCGTTCGTTAGAGCAGAGGTACGCGATTAAATTCTGTGTGAAACTCGGTAAATCTGCGACAGAGACGTTTGATATGATCAAGCAGGCTTACCCAGGTGTTGCTTTAGCAAGAAGTGGTGTGTTTCGGTGGCACCAGGCCTTTTTGGAGGGCCGGGAAGAGGTCGCTGATGAAGACCGTGCTGGAAGACCTTCGACTTCGATAAACACTGATAATGTGACTCGTACGCGCAAAGTTTTGAACTCGGACCGTCGACTAAGTATTCGTTTAGTTGCCCAGATGTTCAATTTACCAAAATCTGGATCCGACAAGACATCGCAGCCGACTGGAAGTTGCACCACGACAACGCCCCGGCTCACACTGCCTTTCTTGTGAACAGCTACCTGACCAAGGCCGGCATCCCAACGCTTCCGCAGCCGCCCTACAGCCCAGATGTGGCTCTCCCGGACTTTTTTTGTTTCCTCGCCTAAAAAGGCCGATGAAAGGAGGGGATCCAAGCAGCATGCACCGCGGCTCTCAAGGCTATTCCGGAGAATGCCTTCCGTGACGCCTTCAATGCTTGGAAATCGCGCTGGCAGCGCTGCATCGACGCAGAAGGAGCCTGTTTTGAAAGTTTTTAAAGAATTGTAACGATTGGCTCAATACATTATTTTAATCGACTCAGTCTTATTACTTTCTGGACAAACCCTGTACACCTAGTTTAATTGGCTACTTGAATATCCTTTCTAGAGAAAAGAATGTACGCCGATGTGTTGGTAGGCAATGGTAGACAAACGAGTCAAAAGTATGCACTAAAACTACGCAATTTTACCAAAAAAACAATGCAATGTAAATTTATAGACTTTTCTCCTATAATGTTCGAATTCGTTGCTTTCAATGGGTTTGGGTATCTTCAGGTGGAATATGCTGATCAATAATCGTATCACTACAGGTTGAATATCGTCTTCACCCCCCTTTATGCAACATTCGAATTTGGAATCACTGACTCAGAGGAAGTCTCAGAACAGCAAAGTACAACTCCTGCTAAGACTGATGTGGAACCTAATCCTCAAGAAACTTCACCAGACGATCAGAATGCGAGTATGCGGAATGATGCGAAAGTTGACTCCAGAGCGATGCAAAAAGATAGTCTGGAATTAGACGATGAAAAACCAGATGATGATTTGATGAACTTTGCAGTCACTGGTTGTGATCGAGAAGAAAGTACTGATGCTCATTCCACAAGGTATAATAATGATTATTATTTTTTACATGTCAGGGCGTTTTTTATCAGGCATTGATGCTTACTTATTATGAGAACGTCGTTTTTTCTTCAAGAGAGATCGGGGGGGATATTATATTATATTTATATTTTTGAAGTCCTATGTTATGTGCACTGAAATTTAAACAAAAATACCAAACCTATGCAGAAATACAAACCCATGCACTACGTAATTAGAATTACCTAAGGAATCCATATTCGCGACTGAATATGACTAAAAATAATAAACCTAATGACAAATTATATAATTTATCCTTCAATGCAAATAAAGAACATTATTTTGAAAATATGTCTAATCGCTACTTATCAAAGTTTGCTGAAAAAAACATTGCTTAACCACTGTTTTTATTCAGTTGATGAGTACGTGGATGCTATGACGTGGCTCGGATAGATAATAAATTAGTTTGTAAGACCTCACATGTACATTTTATATATGGTCATTAAATTGTATGGTAAATAATAGAACAGATTACAGCAGGGTTGCCTGGCAAGGCAAGTTTTATAAAAAAATAGGTACCTGCAGATTGAAACGCGGATCTCGCACTATAACCTCAAATACCCTGCGCATGCACAGTAGCTGGTATTCGCTTCAATCACAGCGCCCTCAGTCAGCCGTCAAGTTTTGGAGTCGTTTTTTGCTTATTTCGCCTATTCTCCTGGTATATAGGCTCTATGCTTGAAAACAATACGTTTACAAAACGCCTAACGAATCATGCCCTACAGCAAAAAACAATTTATTGAAGGATGCCTTTATGGCCTCCTTGATTTTCTATCCTTCAGAAAGGCTGGGGTATTTCTAGATTTCTACTGTCCTGTGTCAGCGTCAGCGCTCTCCTATTGTGAAGTTATGTTATGTTTTTGAATTGTAGGAAATTTCAGGCTGATAAATCAAAAGCATGAACAGTTTGATACAAATAGATATTTGTGACATAACCTCAAAATAGAGCGCTGATACGGAACAGTAGAAAACTATGAAAATCAAGGTGGTCATAAAGGCGTTCTACAATTGGACCGGTTTTTGCAGAAAGGAACCAACCCACTAAATATGAAAAATCTAGATTTTAGGAAGATAAAATGTTAAGAGCAATACCATTTACTGTAAAAAATATCCATATACATATTTAAAGCTATTATGCTATTAATTAAAATTGTGTTTCGTCTGTAATGAATTTGCTATCATTTTCAAAACCTTAAAACCTAATTGCACAATAATTGTTTTTCTGGGTTGGTTCCTTTCTGCAAAAAGCCGTCCAATTATAGGAACGATTGGCGATACCGCACTAAGTGTTTGATTTAGGTATTTTGCCGTGTGAACGCTTCAAGTTCAATTCACCTGGCGTATGGCATTGGCGACGGCGCTTTGCCCAATGTTACCAACATATGCTGGGATGAGACAAATGGTTATATTATAGTATAGTATGCTATTCAGGGGAGAGCTTTTCTCCTCAGAGCTCCCCTCCATGATGCCGTCATTTGATGTGGCTGCCAGACAGACACGGCCTGACTTCGGACTCATATCCTAACCATGTCGAACTTCGTAGGTCCAGAACAATACGATACAATCGCTCCTTTGTCCTCAGGGCTAGAGATTATGGAACAATATACATGATGAGGCTTTTCCCAGTTCTACTAACCTTAGGTTAGCAAGGAAACGCAAAGAGGTCACTAACTAGAAAAATATTGTCATATTCATAAAAGTATCTTTCAACGCCAACTGGATGATAGTTGTGTGTATTGAAATTATGATAGGTAGTTGAAGAATCAATTATTTTATACTGAAATTACAGGTGTTTCATCACTATTTTATGTATTTTTTTTTTGCAAGTACAAGTAATTCATTATTACTGGTACTTTTGCTCGACTGCTATAGTGTGCGATCCATCAGGTACTGATAAAAATGGTTGCAAGATGTTATGTAAATTAAGCATATCTGTTTTCTTAGGCAGTATAGTTTTACAAGTTAAAACTCAGGCAGCGATAAGCAAAATACTAACCACTTAGGGCCTTATCGTCATTCGGTCCTACAATTTATTGTAGGTCGCCTTTATGACCTCCTCGATTTTCATAGTCTTTTATATCCTTCAAAAAGGCTGGGAGATTTCCAGATTTCTACTATTCCGTATCAGCGTCAGCGCTCTCCTATTGTGAAGTTATGGTTTCGTTTTGAATTGTAGGAAATTTCAGGATGATAAAACATGATATAAATCAAAAGCATGAACAATTTGATGCAAATAGATATTTGTTACATAACCTCAAAATAGAGCGCTGACATAGAACAATAGAAAAATATGAAAATCAAGGAGGCCATAAAGGCGTCTAACGGCTCGCTTAGATATAATCCGTCATCGGCCGAACTATTATCGGCCGTTATCCGCCTATACAATCAAACTTATGTAGAATACAGAGCACTACAACCATCATCGGCCGTTTGACGGCCGGCATCGGCAACGTCCGAACTTGGGATTTCTCGGCAGTGCGCCGGCAATTACAACAGATGAATGAGCGTCTTAAGTATGGATATTGAAAAATTAATTGGTTGTGTTTATAATAGGCCGCCGCTTTGGGGACAAAAACTCAAAAAGTTGCAGTAATCGAGATATTGGAAAACGGCTATGGGCTGAAGGTGCATTGGAAATGGATATAGCGATTGCAGTAGTAAAAAAGAATGAAACAACTTAAGAGAACAATTTCGCAAAGAATATAACAGATGTAATGAACCAGGTAAATCTGGTGCTGCGGCGGATCATAAATCATCTTCGTGTGCATATTACGATTTATTATTTTTGACGAAACAAATCGCCCCGAAACCTTTAGCCAGCATTGTGCCTGAACCCAGCGCAGATGTTCCAGATGACTCGGAATCATCGCAGTGTTCTGATGGTGAGTTGTCATCTAAATCACAGTCACAACTTGTACCGCAGCCGGGACCCGAAGCAGGAATCTCGAATTGGAGCCAACCAAAGATCTCCATATCACAACAACAAAAAGGTATTCGTGTATCTGTAACAAAAGTTAATCGTTTTACATCCAATCAACCTGGAAGACTTATGAAAAAGCGAAATATTGATGTCGACCAAGAGTACTTAGAGATCGGATGCAGCTAAATCTGCGGAAAACTCTGATAGGAAATTTTTGTTGAGCTTACTCCCATACTTAAAAGAAATGCCACGAACTAGAAAAATCTCTGTTCAACGAAAGTTGTTAGGCATATTCATGGAAGAAGAAAATAATGAACATCAGTATTCTTCTAAAAGCGGCTAACTCTAACGACGAATTACGTAGCCATAATTCTGGAAACCTGTCAGCAAACAAGGTATTTACCTCGCGATCAACGCCGACGAATTAAATGGCGGTATGAATTTTCCAGAAGATACATCTCTTCGAGACCGTCCATTTTAAAACCCGATTTCACTCTGTTAACCTGTATTCAACAATGACGGTCGACGGGCAACGTCCGATCACGGCGGTAATGTGTGCAGACGAACGTCCGAGACAGTCGCCCAAACAGCCCCGACCCGACATCGGCCGATAAATCGGTTTTGGTCTACGCGTACCGCTACAATTGTAGGAGCGACTGACGATATGGCCATTAGTTGAAGTATTGAAGTATTGAAGAACGAGAATACTAACCCGTTCTATCATAGCCTCTTTACACAATCAAATGAATTCATGAATAAATTGTAAGAAAAATTGGTGATTTTGTTCAACGAAACAAGCAGGTAGCGAAATTACATGATAAAATTTATTCACGTCAAGCATACCAACACTTACAAGGTGTTCATTTGAAAACCTCCAACCACGGATTTATCGAAAACTACTGATTAAAAGAAAAAACGCCGAGACACGTCAAAAGATTTGTCAAGAGGGACAACTTTTTAATCAAAAACTACGTCACCCTTCACCCCCTTTCACCCTCTGCCCTCTAGGGTCATCCCCTTAAAAATTTTAAATGACAAGGGGTATCGAGTAATAGCTTCTTTGAAAGGTCTCTATTTTGACGTTTGATTTTTAGAAATCGGTCAAATCGTTTTCAAGAAAATTAGAAATATCTTTATTTATCTTAATTTGTTGAGATGGAAAACAAAAACACACGAAAATTTCACTTCTTTTTTCAATACGTGTTTAAAATGTTGCTCGTTTTTGGCCAAACAATGATATAGGCGATGCCCAAATTCCTGGCGGACATTTTCAAAAACTTGTTGTGGGATATCTTGGTAACTTTCGATGATGCGTTGACTGAGTTCATCCAAACTTTCAGGTTGGGGTGTAATCACAATAGATTTCAAATGGCCCCATTGAAAGAAGTCTAATGGCGTCAAATCAGGAGATCTAGCAGGCCATTCTATAGGCCCTCTTCGCCCTATCCATTTATCTAGAAACTCGTCATCTAGCCATTGCCGAACCGGAAAAACATAGTGAGGAGGATCGCCGTCTTGCTGGAAATATATTTCAGCCTCATCAAGTATAGGGTTTCCATCCTCTTCGATTTGGTTTTCCATGGTTTCAGTGATAAGAGGATTGTTGGTATTTTCCAACATATCCAAATAAATGTCTCTATTAAAATTTCCATCAAAGACAATGGACCAGTCACTTTGTCGAGCACATTGATTTTGGGCAGCATAAATTAGAATCATTTCCACTCTTTCGGTTATAGTGTAAACCATTTTGGAAGTAAAATCTGAATCAATAAATTAATTTTCACTATCCCAAGATTGGCACAAAGGTAACTGACAGCAAATTAAATTATTTCTTTCCCTTAACAACAAACAATTAAACAGATATAACAATAAATACAGTTCGCCCAGGATATCCGTGTTGATGAAAAGAATGCGGAAAGTAAATTGGGGTTGTTGTTTGGTTGTTGCCACGTCTGATCTTCTTAATTGATGTTTTGTGTTGATTTCGGTTTTAAATTATAAACGAATTGTAGATTTAGCAAGCCTTAACGAGCAACATTTTGAACACTTATTGAAATAAAAAGTGATATTTTCGTGTGTTTTTGTTCTCTATCTGAACAAATTAAGAGAAATAAAGATATTCCTAATTTTTCTCGAAAACGAATCGACTGATTTAAAAAAATCAAACGTCAAAATAAAGGACCTCGAAAGACCTTTCAAACAAGTTATTTCTCGATACCACTTGTCATTTGTTTAAGGCAATGACCGTGGAGGCCGAGGGTGAAGTAGTTTTTGGTTCAAAAGTTGTCCCCCTTGACAAATCTTTTGACGTGTCTTGGCGTTTTTTCTTTTAATCAGTGGTATTCGATGAATCCGTGGTGTTTTCACATGAACAGTAACAGTAACTTCCTATGATACCAACCTCAGGGATAAAATACCATAACATACCAACATGGTAATGGTATTCCCTTCCCCCATCTTCGCGGCATCGCTGCAGCGAAATATCATTTCGTGCTAGGTCCGTACGTTTTTTGCGCTTCAGTACAATACATATATGAGGGCCACGCTATATATTTTGAGATACACGAAAACTAAAAACTATTTTGCGAAAACTAGTTTATCTATGTTCAAAGTATTCTTCTACAGCATCAATGCACTTCAGTAGCCTAACTTTCCACAAATGAAATGCCAGTCAGTTTTTGGAATGCCTTCAACAAACTGATTAATTGCTTGATCAATTTTCCTCTGCGGACGAAAATTTTTGAGCACGCAGATGCTTTTTCAAATTGTTGAAATCGCACATTGCCAAATCTGGCGAATAAGGTGGATGTTCTAGCAGTTTGATGTGGCGCTGGTATAAAAAGTCTACAGTTAGTTGGGCAGTGTGGCTAGAGGCATAGTCGTGATGCAGGATTGCGCAACAATTCTTTTTAAATGAAGATGATCGTTCAAAAAGTGGGTGCACTGTTGCGAATCCTACCCAAGAGTTGCCTCTATAGTCGCATATGTGCAGCGAGAATCTTATTCAATTAGCCGCTGAACTTTAGCAATGTTTTCTGGAGTCACACTAGAACATGGCCTACCACTACGTTCTTCATGAGCCAATGAAACACGCCCTCTTTGAAATTCGGCATACCAGCGAAACACTTGCCCGGGACGAAGCTTCATTACCAAATGCCTGTTGTAACCGTTCGATGCATTGATGTTCATTTAAACCGGCTTTAAAATCATAGCGCGATAACGCTCTCGAGACAACTCCATGTTTCGCCTTAAATTTGTTTACACCACGTGCACTGTAAGATGCTTGCAAATGAACTGAATGCAGCGACTTACTAATAAAGGACTGCTCTCTCTAATAGTGCACTGTTACGGGTTTTAACTACTATAGTTAATGCGCATCTCAAAATATACAGCGTGTCCCTCGTATAAGCCAGGCGGTGCGCTTAGATAGGAAGGGGTACGCGGAGCGAAAACATTTCAAGTTTCAAAGAGAATGTACGGGTAAATCTTTGACGTGTGAAATATAGCGAATAGTAGCATAGAATTACCGGGGTTGGGATATTATAAATATGCTGAGATTGAAAAAAGTAATATACCCTCCCACACTCTATACATAATGCACCTAACCAATAAAAAGATAACGATACTGATTGTTTCTGTTGAAATATTACATCCTAAATTAAAACCAAAGCGCATAGCCAAGCTGTGAGGATTATAATTCAATTCAATTCGCAAAACGTTAACGCCTCAAATAAGGAAGGTTGGTATCTAGGGAAAAGAACCAAAAGTAACTAGAAATTTGAACAAGCTCTAATGTGACAATTTATTCATGGATTAATTGTTGTGAAGAAATTGACAACCATTTCTTTGTTTACAGGCTCCAACTTGTTCAAGGTTAAAAAACTGTTCAATTTATTGGATCGTGTAAAGCGGCTATACGATCTTATTGCATTGTTCTTAACTCGAGCCTTCCTTCTTTCGCGTCTTTCATCAGATCGCGAAGACCCGCCCAGACAAGTTTTCAAGATACGGTTTCATAGTTTGTTTTTGTTCCAGCTCAAAGAAAAGGAAAGTTAAGAATGAAGAAAACACCCGTTCTGGTAAAAAATGCTCGACACTTCTAAAAAAAATCGACGTCGATGTTTTTTTGGACGGAATACATGGGCTTGATAAGTAATTGATTTTAAATGTAAATAATAGTATTGTATATACCGTATATAAGATTAAATTATTTTTTATTGTAAAAACCAGTTTTACCAAATACATTATCACTTGATTGCGTTTTAATTTTTTACTTTTTCGATCGTCCGATCTCTGCAAAATATATTCACTATAACTTAATATAATTTGGTAACTGAAGTGTAGCGCTTAAAAGTTGTGAAGTAACAAACCACCTGTTTCCTAAGTTGAAGGAGCATTCATTTGTCAAGACGGTTCAGTTTTGATTTTTGACGACGATGTGAAAGATGAGGTTAAATGCTTCCTCAAGTACTTAACGGCGAGCTGGTATAACCTGGGTTTACAAAAAATGCCAATATTAAATAAAGCTTTTTAATGATGGATCAATCAGCATCTCTATATGAGTCATTACAGTTGGGACTTCACAGAGTGTATAGGTCAGGCAGTAATAATCATTTGTCCTAGCAACTTCCAAAGCCGAGATACTCGGTTTTGAAGCACTCTAAATAAGCCATTTCGACCCTGCCTTTCTCCCCTCCTACGTCTAAGAGTACAATGTTTTGTGAAGCAACAACTATATGAGTCAGTACAAAAATCAGGCGCTGCGTGGTTTGTACCGTATATGAAAACTGAAATTGGCACATTCCTACAGCAATAACGCAGTTATCGATTTGATGTAAACTATCACTCTGAGCACCAAGATCCTATTGAAACTTCGCGCGTGTATTCGAGTATTCAGAAGGTCGCCGTCGTCCTAGATGTTTACATCTGAGCTGCGTAGGTTCGTTTATATAGTGCAAAAGCCACATGGGTGGACACAGTAGAAGACAGCCCCACATGTTGCAAATTTAGGAAAAAGTAAACAAACTCGTTTTTTTTGTACAGAACAGCAACAATTTAAAGCAGTAATCACAAACAAAACGTATGAAAGGGCAGTACTTGAAATGCTGTACCAAATAAATAGTATGTTTCTTCTATCTGTTTTTTAGACGCAACTGTTTTGTCGTAAATCAACTATATCTCAAACGTAGTTGTTTCTGAAAATGGTCCCAACTTTCAGCTAACCCTGTATGAACGTGGATGCCAATGGTTTTATCCGCGAATACATCGTCGGTTTTGCAATGAACTGTCGTGGCAAGTACCAAAATCTCCCCACTCAACCTTTGAAACTGTTACTAAGGTAAAACACAGTGGCGACGCGTGACTTTTCCTAAACTGTTACCAAAACCAGATGTGAAAAATCTTATTAAAAAAAGTTTGAACCTCCCAAATATAAGTTTTTGCTTATCTTAGGTATTTTATTTAAACTATTTTTAAATTAAGGTAAACATTCCTGGACTGAGCGTGTGGGGCACTTGATATACCTCATCGTCTTATGCTATGACTAATCCAAGCCGTCCGAAAAAACAGTCGACGTTTCTAGATTTTCAGAAAATTCTTGATCTTTTTTGGCAATGAATGTTAACAACTCCCTGTAATTTCCTCTATTGTCAGAGTCATCCCCTTCAATATGAACGGTAATTCCTGTTTTGCCAAAAAACATACGGTATCTAGAGGTGTGCTGCCTAAAAGCTTGGTTAAGACAACTTTCGATTCTTGTTTTGCCAAACTGAATTAAATTGGCTACACATCTCACATGTAATGGAGAAATTTCTTGTCTCCTCTTTAGAGCCCCAAAACTATTTAATCGTTGACTCCGCTGCTGGTCCACCCATTTTTTTCTGTATAAAACAGAGTACATCGCCAACAATATAATCCGTTTTTTTGCAACCACATAACCAAGAGTTTCCATATACCAACTTAATTTAAAATATCAAACTACGTTTTTTTATTCCTTTTTAAAATTATCTAAAATAGGTGTTGGTCTTCCATCTTCAATGATCTCCCTTTTTTTCTTAAAAATTATACAAGGAGAATGACTTTTAAATTAGTTGATCGATTACGCAGCGACATTCATCCATGTTTAATTGCACGCCCACTACAGCCGGTAACCAAAACGGCTACGAACGAGTGAGAAGTGAGTAACCAAATCAAAAAATGGTAACAAGCCCACATAATAGTCGCTGCGCCCCACACACTCGGGCGACCGCGATCAGACACGAGCCGGTGCCGAAGGGCCCCGACGGACTACCAAGTGTATCCATAAATGAAAATGGTAACAACCGACAACCAAGTCACCTTCATCGTGTTCGCAAAACCTAGACATTATAAGGCGCATTATTTTCGTGGGGCTAATTTGCTATTTACTGAATTACATATCGCTGTTGGTAAATAAATAAATGAAATTATTTCACAGTACAGTACAGTCATAAAATATTTATTTTTAAGATTTTTAACTGTTACCAATGGTTACATGGACGCTTCGCCACTGGTAAAACATTGTTTTTAAGTAATGCTATAAACGTCTGATCACATTTGGTATCTTAGACGGCATCATTAAATTGACAGCCTACTTGCATGTCTTTGAAATTTGACCATTATGCATTTCAGAAGTCCTTGACGAACAAGGACAGGTAAATGTTATATGCCGTCTCGTCGCTCTCCGGTCTTGCACGTTGAGTGTTGAGTCATTCGGTTTTTGGTGTTACAGTCGTACGGTCGGCCGGCTTGTTTGTGCGTTAGGAAACACGTAAAATACGCGATTCCTTCTCAAATCGGTTTAGTGCTTGGTGAGTAGGTTGGTAAGTAGGTACAACAATGGGTTGTTTTGTTGCTCATCTAGTAGCACGTTATATATAATATAAGATATACTTAGCAGAAAAACCTGGTGGCAGGGACCACGTCAATGGTTCCATGAAATTTCAGTTTTTTGAAATTGGCGGTTGCACCGGAAAATTAGTATACATATATCATATATGCACATTTTTTAAGAAATATGCACAATTTCTATTGACATCTTTGCACAATTCAAAATCTATCGAGAACAACCAAACAAAATACGAATCCAGTAATTATTTGTTACATATGCACAATCGCCAATAAAGTGCATTTTTTTATACAAAACTGGCAATACATTTTCTTAACAGCTTCTCGAACTGAGTGAAATGTACTGTTAGACAACTGTCAAGGTCTCGTTCGCGGAGTAGCATCAGTCGTACAGTATATTCAGATAAGAGATAGACCGGATGTAAACAAAAGGTTCGGGTGATTTTCACGCTAACGCCGCCGTCTCGACGTAAAACAGGAGCCCTCATTGGTCAATTCGCAATTAAATGCCTATGCCGAGCGGCAGAGCAGTCGTATCAAGGCAGAGTCACATTCAGGTTCAGACGTGTTACGTATGTCGTGTGCATCATTGCAATTTGATATTACTTTGGACGTTTTCGTTTGTTATCTTATTAAGTTGTTGAGTTTGTCGTTGTTATTGTTATACCTTGTTATTGATTGTTATTGTTATCAACTGCTTGCGCAAAATGCCCAGTAGTACAGATACTGCCGATGAAGTTGTAAACTCCTGCAGTCCACCTAGGAAACGCTCTAAAAAAAGACACCTGAGTGCAGAAATGAAAGAGGTCATTTTGAATATATATAAGATCGAGCGCGAGGAGAACGAGGCATCAACCATCAAAGAAATTGTTGTGAAGGTTTCTCACAAAGTTGGGGTGTGTCGCGCATCAGTGTTTAATGTGTTAAGACAATACAAAAAAAATCACACCTTTTCTGAGCCAATGACCAGTAAACATCGCAAAAGTATTGTTAAATCATTGGATGAAGCTGATAAGCATGCGATTAGGAGGAAAGTGCATGAATTCTTCTTTAGGAATGAAATACCTACTATAGATGAAGTACTGCAGGAGGTAAATGGAGATACAAGGTTGCCAAATTTCAAACGATCAACTTTCCATGCGTTACTGAAGCATTTAAATTTCAAATGGAAAAAACGGGGTCGTAATAGTTTACTACTGGATAGAGAAGAAATTGTGCTATGGAGGAGGGATTATTTAACAAAAATTGGGAAATATAGAAATCAAAACAGGAAGATTTATTACCTTGATGAAACGTGGGTAAACGCAGGACACACTACAAGTAAAGTATGGGTTGATGATTCTGTAGCTTCATCCAGGAGGGCCTTTCTAGATGGATTGTCCACCGGATTAAAAAATCCAGCAGGTAAATACGAGTAATAGACAACAATCGGATGTTTTTCAAACCTTGGGAACAAGGTTCTATACATTAATTCCAGGGGGCAGATAAAACATATTACAAGTAACAAAACTTTTATAACTTTCGATAAAATGCGTGGATGTTTTATTGTCATTTTCATTTGTTAGAACTTTTTTAAGCCATGTTTTTATGTGTTTTCGATATTTCAATAATTTTTTAATATAATCTTAAAATATGTCGAATATTATAAACTTAAAAAAAGTTACTAAGTTTTATATTGTGTACCGTTCTTAATATTTCTAATCATTTTAATTCATACTTTAAGCTTTATAAAGTTATAATTTGTTAATATTAATATTTGCGCGTATTTCAGGTTCCTGATCATTCATTTTTTAAAGGTTTATAACTTTAAAATAAATTGTGAAGCGCTGAGTAATCATACGACGTTCAATATTCTTTCTTTCAATATGACTAAATAATCCCAATTATAGCAATCTGATACTCATGTCTCAATGTTTTTTCGCTGAATGTGATGAAAACATTTGAAAAAGGTTCGCTTATTGAAATAAATCTACACCAGTTAGTACTTCGATTGTTGTTGACGGTCTGTGGTGCTTTGAGTCTAAGAAAACTGGAGATTACCACGAGGAAATGAGGGGCGAATCGTTTGAACAGTGGTTTTCAAAAATTTTACCGAACTTAGAGGAAAACGCAGTAATTGTGTTGGATAATGCGCCTTATCATTCTCGAAGAATGGAGAAGGTCCCAACAACGGCTTCAAGGAAAGTTGATGTTCAAAATTGGCTCCGCTCGAAAAATATCAACTTTGAAGAAGCAATGCTGAAAGTACAATTATTAAGAATTGTCAAGGATCACAAGGCGGAATATCAAAAATACGCCATTGACGAAATGGCAGCAAGTCAAAATAAAACTGTGCTCCGTTTACCTCCATACCATTGCGAGCTCAATCCCATTGAGCTCATATGGGCAGAGGTTA